ACCTTATTGGCTAGGAATCCGAAACTCTAACTACCGCACCGCAGACCCGATGCCTTACCAGTTTAGATCGGGAATATACACAATATTAACGAGCTGGTGACACAGTGATCTGAGCGTTGAACATCTAGCCAACAGGTCACGGGTTCTTACCTCGGGTGCCGCAACACCTGGGAGTGATTATAGCTGCCTAATGACGACTGTAACCGAAAGTAGCCATTCGAGTCCCCCTTTTCTTTGTCGGCAGTATCATTCAGCCTAAATCATTAGCCACTAAGAGGCTTCTGGTGGGGTTTAAGCGTGAGTCCTGAGGCGTCACGGGGTGAGTAAGTTCCACAAAGTACCGGCGAGCAGCCATCTAGCATAAATGTCTGGATTGGAGATCAAGGACAAGCTGCCGCAATTTTGTGTGGTCTAGAATGTTGCAACGTGTGTTTTACTGAGAATCAACTCCTTCAAAATCCCAATGGTCGGAAGCATATTGACCGAAATCTTGTCAACCGAAGCAAAGATTGGAAGAAGAAGAAGAAGAAGAAGAAGAAACCTTCGCTTGAACAAGACACTTATTGGTCTGACTTCAGATTCTCGCTCGAACCCATCATCATGGGCAAACTGTCATGTAACTAGCATGTCAACATCCAAAACGGATGATGCACTCGTGACAATTAACGTCCACGATGTGAACTCCCAAGCCAGCATTGCATTAAGTATGAGCCTCGAACGGTGATCACGAGATATGTTAATCTTAGTACGGGTGCATTTGCGTGATATTTAAGGAACTATAGATGCTTTTCTCCCTGCGCCTCTTTCAACCTTATCTACGATTGTCTCTCATGATGTATTCGGGCGAGAATCCGATCCGTTCCAGGGATCACATCTCCTCTTTGTAAAGTGCTTCCTGGAAGGCGCATGTTCGCTTCTATCAGCGAAGCAAGTTTGAAGTGGGAAGGAATCGGACGAGGCCTGGAATTTACGCATTTGAACGGTTTAAACTATCAAATTAAAGTCCCACTTGCATGTGGGGAATAGGCAGAAGGGCTAGCCCGGCTCGCATATTGTAGGGATTTTTAATAAAAAGGTATGCATACTGAAGTTATTACCTCCAGTGTCGTTCTGTGTAACCTTTTTAGGGATTAAAAGTTTTGCCTAATTTATGGCAGTCAGTCAGAAAGGAGGAGGATTGGCGCCCCCGCGAATGAGATAGGGGACACAGATGCGGGGGGTCTTTGGGAGCAGGGGTAGGGAGAGGGAGGAAGCAATAAAGTGCGAAAGTGGAGGCTGCTTGGAGTTTCTTCATGGTCCGCGACCTGGACTCCTCATAGTCAATCGCATCTTCTTTACCGGAGAGAAGTTGGAGGGGAGAGGGAGAAGGGGAGGTGAGAGCGACTTTCGCTAGAGAGGGAGAGAGAGGAGAGCTTCGCATGCTTTTTGATATCAACCCTAAAATTAGGGGATAAATAGGAAGCAAGGAAGGATTACGTCCTCCTTTGAGCCTACGACCAAACGGCAACGCCTCTGACACGCAGGTACACAAACGCACGCCGAACTGCGTGATGCACACACAGAAGTATCCCCTATTTGTCATGTGATGGTAGCCATGCTACAGCCACTGACTGAGCAGTAATCACAGGGCAGGACTAGGGTGGAACTCGCAAAGGAGAGGGGTGGAGGCAATGTGATGTGGGCGGATGGAAACCGAGGGTGAGGGAGGGGGCGGGTGGTGATGGACTCTTTTTAAGGTCGTTTGACTCAAGGTTACGCGAGGCTTAACTTTCAAATGGAGACAAAGTAAACTTCCTGCTCAAACAACGCCGTTTGAGTTTGTTTACCATATTGCCAACGTTGTGACAGACTGAAGTGGGTAGGTCCTACGTACATGTCACACTTCAAACTACTGAAATTGTTTGGGACAGGATGTTCTGTGGAAGAGGAGGTGAATAAACTGAAAATTATTTTTGTTGTGTGCTCGACTGAAAGCACGCGTATTGCCTGAAGATGCGATCAAGTCCTTAACTCATATTGTGATCCAGGTCAGAGATCTTCAGATATAGCAATGCGTTTCGGTAAGCCGTCCATCCCGCGAATTAGAGCCAATTTAGGGTCATGTACAAGGCCGTACCACAACTTGTCGGTTTGTCAGGGCCCTCAGGCCTCTTCAGATCCTTTCCCGATATCAACGTCAATGGACTTTTTAGTCTAAGTCCGCTTCCATCTCCCAGCCAGAAAGATCTTAGAAACCCGTAGTTTGTTCTACTGAGTTGGTGAACGATCTCACCTAAAGACATCATGTTTACTTACGAGGTTCTTGATGGAGATTGCACGTCCTCCTCAAATAGCATTGACAGCGGGTTACCCAACTCAACAGTGCTTCTGCATTGTGTCGTTCGCTGTATCTTGAAGACAGTAGCGGGCTGAGTTGTGCCGAAGTATGGTTTCCTAACGTAGTCAACAACGAAATATATTGAAGCACTGTTTCACCGGAAGAAAGTTAAACAATGCAAAGACAATGAAGTTTTCGGAATTTAATAACGTCATACCTTGCCTGTAAACTGGCAATAAGTAAATTAATTAATTAAATATCGACCTAGAAGGTTGAAATTCGATAGCTAAATAGAGCATGAGCGGTTGGTCTTAGGTGTAGGTGGCCATAGTGAGAGAGAAGTAGAGAGGGAGGCAGTTATTGAAGCACGGCATTCCAGTTTACAAGCTTGGTTACAGGGGCAGGGGGCAAAGGACAGAGCGGCAGTCAGCCATACGAGGAAGGGAGGGTACGTTAAAAGACGGGAGATGGAATGGGTTTAAGTTCATAATCGATAGTTACCACGAAAATGTGCGGTTGATAATGTGATCTAACTGCTTACAAAGTTCTGATTTTCTTCTTCGTATTGCATCATCCTCCGCAAATCGCAGGAGACTGCATTGAAGGTCTTACTTAAGACAACGACCAGGCCTATCCTGTGATTTGCGGAGGCCGTTGCAATACGAAGAAATAAACCAGATATCTGCAGGCAGTTAGATCACATTATCAACCATTCACTCTTACGCCTCCGCCCTCCCCCATACGACCGACTTCTGCCCTGTCCCTTGCTCCTCCCTCCCCCTTTTAAGCACCTTTAACAGGTTTTCCCATTAACATGAGAACATTAACATATAACATAAACTGCTCTACTCCGATATCTACCCTTCTGTCCTCTCCCCCTCCCCCCCAATATGCGCAACCGTATCTAAGACTAATAGCTCGTAAACATTGTCCGGCAAACACATGCCTTTAGTAATTCATCATCAGACCAGTACAACTGCAGAGATAATGAAAACCTTACAGTTAAACAGGGTTAATAAGGGTCCTTTGATTACAACTCATCGTTTCCACCTTGCTCGCATGGCGTGATCAGCGTGTAGAGTTTCTTGCGCTGGGGTGAGGATGGAGAAGCGGAGATTAGAATAGGTTGTGAACATTGGTCATGGGTCAGGTACGTGGAGTGATAATTACCGCCATCTGCACAGAGTGAACGGCTGTCACTAGGGCGTGGGGCGATATGGGATCGCCACATGGGGTCAGCATCGGCCATGGAAGTGAAAGGGTTTGTGTTAGCGACTTCTGAGAGCACAGGACTTGACTTGCTAGCCATATAACCACTACCTCGCCTGTTGCTAGCACCCGTTGGCGTAGGCCCTTAGAGATTTTGATTGGTATCCGGTAGACAACTTGAAAGGCCCGTGAGTCGTATCGACAAGGTGTTCGAGGATCCAACTCGGGATTGATCTAGTTTCATGTTTACTTATCCAGGTCGGTATGTGTTCACTTGTTCTCTTTTCCAGGCGCCTAGTCGACAGGAGCAAAAGACTAGATCGTAGTTTATTTACATATAAAACTTCAGCCTTCTAAGTCGATACTTAATTGGACAGTGTGTTTTACCTTATTAGCAGGCGATGACTGTATGCAGTCAAATAAGAGGTCACAATATTGTATGAAGTCAGGTAATTATGCAAACCTCATTGTCTTTGCGTTTTAAAACGAACTATGTAGTCCGTTTTCAGTGGTCTTAATCACTCTTTACGCAGGGGTGCAATCAACTAGCGAAGTTATTCCTCTGCTGAAAAAATGTAGGCTGTTAGAAAGACCGCATGAGGTGAAGAGAAAGCTACGTTGACAGACGCGAATCCTACGCATGCCAAGAAATTTGATTTTTTTGTAAATGTTTTCCGGTTCCTTACACGAAACAACAGAAATACCAACTAAGCTAGCACTGTGTCATCATTTCGCCCAAATAAAACAAGCAGGTAAATAGAAGTCCGTGCTCTTCCATTACGAAAAAAACTGCTTGATATTGGTCACTATGTGGACTTCATAACATCCATTTGAGTCATTTTTCGGGCACGTTCAACTCATATGCTGCACTACAGACAGTGAAACCAGACCTACATGAAAACAGTTGGAGTACGCGGTCAACTTAAATTTTACGATGTGACCTCTAGCTGCTTGATTTACATATTAACCCTCTCTTTTTACTTAATTTTTTTCGCACTTATGCATCCCATACGGCACTTAAGTTACTAATTTTATTAATTAACCCTTACGACACCAAACCGTGACCCTGCTGTTTTATATTGGTTTTTTTTCGGTACGAATTCAAATCTACTGTATTCTCTCTCATTCGTTCTTGATGTTATGCAGCGAGAAGAGACAGTTGCTGAGCAGTCGCGCAATTTGTTGGAGACAAGTAATCCTGTATTACTTGCTTTCTTTAAGGTAACTTACGCGATGGGCTAACTTTTCGTAATGAAATGATGAAGCTTTCACCGATTCTCTTAAGCTGTCGTCTTCCGATATGATGTCACTGGAGCCTGCCAAGCATAAATCATAACTTGCGGAAGCGCAGAGAGAAAATCAGATAAAAGAGGCTAACCTACCAGTGTATTCACTCTCCTCAACTGCTGATTTTGCATTTATTCCCTCGGGAGTTAATCGTGACCAAAAAAGCCTTAAAGAATCAATTTTTCTGCCGAATTTTCTCAGGATAGACTGGCTCTAACAACTCAGCTGCGTACTCCTAGTCATATTTCCCCACTATAATCAATGATTTTATGGAGCAGGCGACCTAGACAGATTTTCATAATGAGCTTCAGCAGAAATATTATTTTCAATGGTCAATGTTACTCTGTTTTTTTTTTGACAGCCTTAAGCGCATCGTTCGTCTGGTGGAACGCAACCGAATAACAAAGAACGTTCTCTTGGACAATCTGGAATATGCCATCCAAGTGGTCGAAAAAACCTACATGGAGGAGACAAGGTAGGCAGTAGTGGTATGCTAACACGCGCAGTAAGCGCTAGGTTGTACTTCTAGAGCTTTTCTAATCAGTGTCACACTGGATTAATGTAGATGCTCTTTTTTCTTATTAGATAGGGTGTCCCAATATTATTTCCACTTTTTAAACGTTACATAATTTCATTGAGAATAAATATTCAGCAATATTTTTTGTTTCCCAACCTTATTGGTTGAAGACTTATTTGTAAACAAATGTTGTACACAATGTTTGCCGTGCAGTACAACAGTACAAATAAAATATAAAAACTCGTGCTAGCATTTCTGCGCTGAGTCATCCCTGTAGTAACAGAAAAAAGCAAAAGAAGGGGGACTTTCTGTAAGATGGCCACGAGGTGGACTGTAGACGACGGGAAACAATTCGTCTTTTAAGCGAATCGCCGTATGAACTGTTTCATCCGCCAAATACAAAAATTGAAATTAATTGGGCTCAAAGTCATAATCTCGTTGATAATGTTGAAGTTCCAAGGTTTAGTTATACAATCATGGTTTGGGAGCAATTTCCTTTGAAGGGCTCTCTGACCTCCACATTTTACCACAGGGTCAACGAGTGAAGACCCAACCCGTTTAAAAGATTAGAAACAACTCGCATGTGCAGGTCAAACTTTGAGAATAAACTTGTTCCGGACATGTCAAAGATGATTTTTATGGACGTCGGAGCCACAGCTCATACAGCTCTGGAGACCCAGATATCGCTGTCAGAGAAAATTCTACACTTTCTGGAAGAAAAACGTCGCCAGAAAATGGACCTGCTCCTACTACTGTTGCTGGATTGGATAGACCTTGTTGGAGGCATAGAGAAAAAAGCCGCTTTTAAGACCATCCAGAATCTCATTCATAGGATGCCATGTGGGGTAGAAGCTGTCCTAACAGCCAATGGAAAATATCCTGTAAAGTAAATTGTAAAATATATATGCTACCTAAGAAACCGTGCGTATGGTACTAAGGTGCAAACAATTTTGGGAGCTCACTTATATCCGCTCCCTTAAACTGGCCTTTCTGTACTACTACTGGGGATAATTTCTACTCCTTTTTTCTCTCACTTGCATGGACGTCCTGCGAAGCAGACGTCTCCGGGATGAAGACGACGACCTCTCGGATGCCGCCTGCTCCGAAGTGCCAGACGAGGTCCGTGATTGGCTGTCGTCCACGTTTAAACGGAATGCTGGCACCGGAAACCTCAACGCCACCAAACCCCACTTTCGAAGC